GGTAGCTTTTGTTTCCTGTACCCGGCCGGACTAACAGGAAGTGCACACACTGTGTGCACTTCCTGTTAGTCCGGCCGGGTACAGGAGACAGATGCTCCCTCTACCCGCCGACTATATAGGGCTCGGCCACGCTACAACAGAGGGAGTGACAGGAGGGAGCGCTGAGCGCTGAGCGCTGAGCGCTTCCCTCCTGTCAGCACCTCTCCTCAGGCTGCGCCCGGGCGGTGCGGTCCGCCCTCATGGACGCACTGCCCGGGCAAAAATGCAGCCGCCTGAGGCTCTCTACAGAGCGCTCGGGCGGCTGCAGCATGGCGGGGGCGGCGGGGCTGGTCATGGCACCCCCCACCCGGCTGGCACCCGGGGCGGACCGCCCCCTCCGCCCCCCCTTAGTACGCCACTGCCCTAGGTTTAGGGGTACATCCAGAAACTGGGGGAATTTGTGTACAGTATAAGGGGTTTATGAGTCAGGCTGAGGGGAGGAGATGTGTGGGAGGTTACCAGAACAGGATTGGGTACTGTAATAATTAATGGAAATCCCTCCCTTGCATGGGAGCATGCTTTATAAGGCCACTGTGGAAATAAATGTTTAGTTCTGCTCCTGATGCTGTGTGTCGTCCAGTTATTGGGATTGCTGTTGGGATATTGCTATATTGTTTCACCTGCTGGAAACCTTGCCTTATGGATTTATAATTACTTGTTCCTGAGCCTCACTGGGATCCTGAGCGGAGATATCCTGTGGAATACTAGATCTCCGCTACATTGGTTGGCAGCGCTGGGACCCAGACTCACAAAGGAACAAGGATTGATGGAGATTGATTACTTCACACTAAAGAGATCCACACTGAAAGACCTTCTTAAAGCAAGGGGTATTCCAGCCAGCAACAAGACGAAAGCAACGCTTATTTCAGAGGTAATGGCAGAGTACCGAACAGAGGAGGATTCCGTCACCGAACAGAGGGAGGCAAGAGAGGGAACAGAGCAGGAAGAGTTCCAAAGACAGCTCCAATTTAGACTGTCATTTTATGGAGAGAACCCACCGATGGAAATAATCTCCAAGACAATGACGGAGGTCCAGGAATTTATAATGCGGCAAAGAGGGCCACAAACACCAGAGAGAAACACAGTGGTGTCCACAATACAAGAAGGTAAGACAAAAATTCCTTAACAGGCATTTAAAATGTATGTGGAAGCTGAAGAGGATATAGACGCATTCCTCCAGGACTTTGAGAGACTGTGTATGCTGTATAAAATAAATAGGGAGGATTGGGTCCCCATCTTGGCAGGACGGTTGACAGCGAGAGCTGCTGAAGCCTACCGTACCATACCAGATACGGAAATCAGAAACTATAGCCGGGTAAAAGAAGTAATTTTGGCCCGATATGCTATTACCCCCAGAAGCGTACCGGAGACACTTTAGGGAATTGAAAAAGGCAGACAAAGATTCGCATGCAGAATGGGCCTGCCGATTGCAACGGGCAGCCCTTGGATGGGTGCAAGCGAACCAGGCACGGTCCATGGAGGACCTATTATAAATGCTGCTACTGGAACAATTTTACGATGGGATACCCGCAGACCTGCAGGAGTGGGTGAGGGATCGTAACCCCACTTCTATTACAGACGCAGCTAAAAAGGCTGATGATTACATGGATGCGAGAAGGCATCACAAACCAGTAGTAATCAAAGCAGCTGTAAGGCCAGTCGGAGGGGGGGGCTACCCCAACAACATAATACCCCCACCACGACAACTACCACTACCACCAACAACTACTGCACCAAGATTTCGTCCATCCAGTTCTGTGCAATGCCATCACTGCCAGAAGTGGGGGCATTACAAGCGAGAATGCCCACAGCTCCACCGAGAGCAGCCGCCCACTGTTATCAAGGGGAAGGTACAACCTCATATGGCGCGGCAGTCCCCATCACAACTATAGAACAGTGGGAAGTTCTTCACGAAGCTGATCCAGTACAGGCCAATGCTGATGTGACGAGACCAATCTCGCCACATTGCATTGGAGAAGCCTGGTTGCTCGCCTGTTGCCTTTGGATTATGGCCCCATGTTAAAAGGCTTGATTTTCCCCTGCAAAGACACAAAAGCCGGGTCATTTGGTGCTTGCCCTGTTTGAGCGGTAATACCCCAGATAGCTATGCCATGGAGCCCATTCGTATAATGAAAGACTATGGGAAAGACTTTGGATCCATGGCAATTGAACTGTATGTGTGTGATCTGAGCGCCATTCAGTAATAATGTGCGCTCAGATGTGAGCCATCTGGGGATATGTTGAATGTACCTGTTTTGTGCAATGGCTGCACAGTTATATGTTTTTATGTGTTTTATTGTCTTTTGCTGCCATGTGTTCAGTGGAGTTTTGCCTCTTTCCTTGGAGATAATTGGATTACTTCCCAATTATCTCCAGGATAGAAGACTCTGTGGAACTGGTTTTGGGCAGAAAAGCCATGTTTCCTTTGGTCACAAAGGACTACGATCTATCTTTTGAACCATTGGACCAATTTGTATGATTTTGACGTATGTTTGTATTTGGAGTATGCTGATTCTGAAAATGTAAGTTATATGTGAATGTGATGTATGCTTTTCAAGTTATGAATAATGTGGAAAAATTGTATTTCTCTGCTTGTGCTAAATTACATTACCCATTGTGTAAGTTAATTGAATCACAGGCAGAGGGGAGGATTTTGTGTGGGAGTGTCTGAGTGTATTGTATGTGTTT